TTAACAACAAACACAATTGAAGGAAAATGGAGTCTGTTGTTGAATAGGGTAAACCTAAGTTCAACACACTTTTACTCGCTTTCATATTCAGGGTTAAAAGACGCCCTTTTCGGAAGACCTAAACAAAAACGGGTAAAACCTCACTGTACCCTCTCCAATGTATCATGCTGAGTAGTGAGAGCAGGGCACCATACTGGAGCTGCATACTGAAGTAAAGGTCTACTAAATTAATACAACAATCTATTCCATTTTTCCAGCTTTTCCAACTTAATTTTTCCAACTTAATCCCTGGAAACAAGAACAGGTCATTGAGGCACACATCCCAATCAGAAACTGAGCTCATAAATTGAACCCTATGAGACCTATCAGTTAGATGATAAACCCATCAGTAAGATGAAGACTTGAACTTCGTGTGGCTTTTGTGGCTTGTGCGTAAAGCGCTCGCCTCTCACCACGGTGACCACGGTTCGAATCCTGGCCGCGGTAGAGTTGTGCGTTGGTTCTCTCCTGTGCCACGTGGGTTTTTCTCCGGGCCCTCCGGTTTTCCTCCCTCCGGAAAAATCAAACACTTTCGATCTCTGGCTGTGCTCCGTGGTCATATATGGGTCGATGTGGCCGGCAGCCATAGGCGCCTTTACGTGCCAGCGGCCCGACCACGTTGTAGCCGCAGCCTTCGAAATTCAGCATACCAGCTGCGAGAAAGGATGATTAACCTCCCAAATTATTATTATTGTTATTATCAAGTGGTAGTGAGAATTGTAGGGTCCCTGGATTTACGAGTCTACGATTGGTTTTGGAAACAATGCTGTTAACGTACATTTTTCTAACTTAATCCCTGGAAACAATAATACCGATATAGTTATAGTAAACCACGCACTTTCCAGGACATGTTTATCAGGTTTACAACTGGCACTAGTAAGAATTTCTGAGCAGGTCACCGATAAGTTTACATTTATTAGAATTGAAAGTCATATGGTTGAGGTTCCATCACCAGGAGTTTGTGCTGCAGGTCATTGGAGTGCCGCCTCGTCGTCTTGATTTTTTTATGATTTTGTACGGGACAGTATCATCGGCGTACTGTTTAAGATTAGACTGAGCACAAAATGGCAGATCAAAAGCAAAAATGTTAAGCACTAAAGGCCCAAGAACAGATCCTTGAAGCACACATCCCTATCAGAAACTGAACTCATAAATTGAACCCTGTGAGACCCATCAGTTAGATGATAGACCGACCTATCATTGAGATGAAGACTTGAACCAATTCAGCATCGATCCACAAACACTTATGTAATTTATGCGAGAGAACTCGGTGACCCACACAATCAAAAGACTTTTACAGTGGCGTAGCAAGGTCAAATGTAGACACTTTTTTTTCTCCGGACACTTGGCCTCCGTAAAATCAAATGTCAAATAGGGGGCTGTTCAAAACCGACAATTTCGCACTAACGGGCAATATATGGTGCTTTTAAGGGCGATTATATGCACGAAATTAAAATAAAGGCACTTGTAATGGCCGATGGTATTAAAAAGGGCACGACTTAATTTTCAAAAGGGCACTTGTTCAGAAAAAAGGCACTTTTTACAAATACTGGGGGGCGGGTTAAGAGCTGGTAAGAAAAAGAGGGCATTTGAATGGAAAAGGGCAGTCTTTACAAAATATTTTGGGGGGAGAATACCTCCCTTACCCCCCGCTGTCTACGCCTATGTTCTGTCTGAAAAGAATAACAGAAAACGAGGTGGTTTAAGAGCATCAAGGGCATGAATACAGGGTTGTCAATTGCGTAACGCAAGAACGTTTTGGTACAAAAAAAATCATGTTGCCTAGGTGAGATTATTCCCCATCTGTACATGTTGTTAACCAGGTGTTTCGAAACGATTCTTTCTAGTGTTTTTTTCAACAACAGAACAAAGTGAAATAGGTCTGTAGGACATAACATGAGTATCACCAGATCTGAACTGTAATGATCTGCATTCTTACTACATGTATTATTTGTTGTAGGTTTTCCTAAATATCGTTGCACTGTTCTATCCAACCCTCTTTTTCTTCAGCTCTCTCCCTCTATCAGACAGATCTGTGATATCAGCTGTGACCAAGGGTTTCTTGACCGGGCGATGTTTGCCAAGGATCTCACTGGCTGTCTCGGTCACTGCTGTGTTGAAGGGGTCAATGAACGTATCCCTGTCTGTGTCATCCGCATTAGCATCCGAGATAATGAGTTGTGCAAATGTCCAACCTATCATTGCTTGGAAGTCTTTGAAGTCGGAAGGTAATCAACACTGGATCGTGGTCACTTCCTTTGCCCGCTTCTGGGAAGCTTCGTGTGTCGACCATGCTCACAATTGACTGTAAGCATCTCTTTACCACGATGAAGTCGATCTGATGGTGGTGATCCCCGCTTGGGCTGTGCCATGTCCAACTTCTGGATGCTCTATGATTGTCAAATGTGTTCGTCATCACGAGATCGTTTAAGTGGCCAATTCCGGGAGTCTCGATCCTCTTCCGTTGGTCTCTGCATTGCAATATTGTCCACATATGCCTCTCCAGTTCTTGCAAGCATCCACTCCTACCTTGGCAATCCAGTCGCCATGAACATCTAGAATGTCTTCCTTCCATTCTTTCTTCTTGATTCAAGATTTTTTGCTCGCACATTAACATCTTAATCCAGTACGTAGCAAGTTGCCTGCACATGTCCATGTTCACACCGACTTGTTACACCAGCGGCGGCGGAACGGTTTTGAAACTGGGGGGGGGGGGGGGGGGGGGGTATCACCAAAAGGGGCACTTGTTTCATCCGTGATGAAATGTCGACACGTTTTTCTTCACCGGACACTTGGCCATCGTAAAATCAAATAGTTGAGGGGGGGGGCTGGTACCATCTTCCAAGATTACATGTACGCATTATGTCGCCTAGCTTATCACGAAAGCATCATAGGATTGGGTTAATTCTGTTTGTAAAGTGTGCCTGAAAATAGAGGTAAGAAAAGAGGGACTTTAATTTTTAAGATATGGTATGGTGTTCCAGATTTCTTTTCTTCAAACCAAATATTAACTCAATTTTCTGCCATTTTTAATGTGATAATTGTCTTTAAAACTGTCTATAGGTGAAGATACAGTGCAGTGGCAATGGAGATGCAAAATCTTTCCAGGTTCAGGGTTGTACCGTCAACGTCAAAGATGCCTGCCTGAAGGTTCATAAACTTTTCAGCAGAATGCAGAAAGATATGCAACAAAGGGAATCCCTTTCTAAAGAAGTTAGTCAAGACAATTAAAGCTGTGATTAAGGCATTGTTTAAAACAATTTTCACTTAAACACTGATATCAATGGGTTTAAAATATATTACTCTTTGGTAATGAATTATAATTAAATGAAAAATGTAATGGCACTAAACTAGGGTGTAATTTCTATGTACATCAAATGTGAATAGGAAAGGATGAATCATTTCACCATTTGGAAGGGTTCATTGACCTCTTCAAATGCAAGGAATTGTCACCTTTTTGTCAAAGTCAAAATATGTCCATCGATCTAAGCCCGCCGCACACGAAAGCTATACGCGCTGAACAAAAAGTCGTCCGAGGCAATGGGCGTTGGCATGATTTGTTTCTAGAGGGGGCAACACGCATTCCCGCCCACCCCCCCCCCCCCCCCCTCCAATCTCCCTGTACTTTTCCAGCATATTCTCGATTTAACATTTCGTCACCGACACCACGAAGTAATACAGCCTACCTCGTTAAATCATATTTTTTCGATTTTCAGTTTTTTTGATTTTTAAACATTATTCATCAAGGCCTACCATTACACGAAGTTTCAAAGCTTCAAGAGCTTACCATTGCAATGCATGGCGCACACTCTGCTCATATTTGAGCAAAAACGCTTTCACGAAGTAACACTCTTCTTGTAATAAGTTGTATGAGCGCGCGCGCGCTGACCTGAAGTTGCACTTTCCTCGTGCTGTATACATTGAAGAGTGTTACTTTTTTCGTGTCAGCTTTTTCGGTTTCACGAACTAACACTCATCTTTTTTTCTCTTATTTCTTGTTTATTTAATACACAAACGGGTGAAAAATAGCAGATTTAATGAATTCAATTCATCAAGTGTCCACAACCCAACTGAAAATACTCTGTCGTTTTGACGCAACGTGTTGTTTTAGAAGGCGTTCAACTTTAGATGCCGTTTTCTCCGATTGCTAGTTTTTACCGGTATGTACATGAGTGTTTCTTCGTGGTGTCGGTGACGATTTTTTTCGACGGTGGGCAGGGACATTTGCCCCTCTCCCAACCCTTTAAATTTACAGCAATATACTTCGCACCTCTGTTTTCTCTTTTTTTCCCTCCTTGTTTTTTGGGGGTTTTTTTTTTTTTTGGGGGGGGGGGGCTTTTTCAGGGGTTGCTCCCCCCACACGTTCACACGACGCCCATGTTCAAGGCCGTTTGCTCGGCACGTAGATCACCAAATATGACCGTGTGCCGTGAATTTTGCTGAGTTTTCCGCCTCCGAGACGTTTCTGTTTCTTTCGCCTCGCGAGGCAAAAAACTCACCGTGTGCGGTGAACATGCGCTGCGTGCTGAGCTAAAAAGATTACCTAGCCAATGAGATGACGTACTCTGTACGCGTGATTTTAATATATTTTTGTGCAAAGCTTCTAAAGCCTGCTGGCGTTTGTCCACATTTTTTTTTTTAAATTGCACGACCGAATTACAAGAATAATGTGCTTTTCTTAGGCTAGTTAATCTTCACCTAGTGAGAGGAAAGAAAAAATCAAGTAGGATACATATTTGCCTTATGGCTTCGCGAGGCAGAAAACTCTGCAAAATTTTACCGCACACGGGATATTTTGTGAGCTACGCGCTGAGCAAATGGCCTCAAATGACTTTATGCCCAGCAGGCATCTCTCGTGTGCGGTGTTCTGTATTGAAGCAGTTTTACTGTTGTATTGTTTTCTGTATTTCTAATGGCTAACCTGAAAGGTGCAATGGAAGTACAGCACACCACATGGCATGATGGCATATGATCCTGAGGTGAATTTTATCATTGAGGAGGCCTTCAAGAACAACTTTTCCTCGGTAAGCCTTGAACTTGACGGTGAAGATGTGATAATCTACTTCCAAACCATGCGGGAGGAATCGGATTCTTCAATCCTTGATGTCCAACGAATTGACCTGAAGAATGGTTTGTATAAGGAAACTTGTGTATATTGTACTATTGTAATTATTTTGATTAGGGTAAAAAAAAAAATCTAAATTTCGAAACTATTTTGTGTTCATTAAGTTAAAATAAAGAGTCGACCTTGGGGCTCACACAACTTGTCAGCTAAGTCTTTGATTCATCTTAGGTTTGACTTACTCTTTTCTATCCCATGAGTGATGTAAGAAAGTACACACTAGACCGAGCAGGTTCATTGTTTTGATTCCTGCATCTTATACCGTTCTCAGCCCCTTCATTTGAAGTGCCGAGCAACTGGATACCTATGAAGGATAACCACCTAAAAGTGGCACCACTTGTTGCAGGCACACCAGAATACACGACTGTGGAGAGAAAATTTCAAGCAGCTGGGGGACGTCATCAAATTAAAGAGGTAGCAATTACTTGTTATTTGCCGTAGATTTTCACCGTGACAAACCTTTTGATGGATAAACAATTTTATTCACTATCTGTTTTTTCTTACAATTTCTCTGCAAATATACAATTTCTTATTGCTAAACTACTCAGCTAAAGTTACTTTGCGTCTATAGTTCATTCGTTCGTCCGTCCTTTCCTTCGTCCGTCCGTCCGTCCGTTCGTTCGTTCGTTCGTTCGTTCGTTCATTCGTTCGTTCGTTCAATCGTTCGTTCGTATTGTATAAAAGGAGGGTCAATTACAAGAACGACGGAAGATGTGAGACCTTTTACATGTTAATGTCACAAAGATTAAGTATACTGTTAAAAGAAATGCTGTTTTGCCCACGATGTGTGTACACTTTCGTTTTCCATCACAGATACACAGAATTCAGAACAAAGGCTTGATGATGCAGTACCAAGCATGTAAGGCAGCGATGGTGGATCGTCTTGGTCGTTCTGACATCGAAGAGTCGTTGTTCCATGGTACTGATGAGAATACGTGCGATAACATCAACAACTTTGGGTTCAATCGCAGCTTCTGTGGAAAGAATGGTAAGAATATATGTATGTGAATAAAATGATTCATTTATTTTAAATGAAATAATTCATTAATTTTAGCTAATTAGGCAAGAAATCTGTTGATGTTTGATGGTTTGGCCAATTGATACTTCCTCATGAACTTCATTGACATGTTGTCTTTTTATATGGAATTCTCTAGGTTGCTATGGGTATCAAAGAAAAAAAATATAACAGGTATTAGAATGAATAAATTTAAGAAAAGTTGAGGTTCTGGACAAATTGCTGGTGCTTCACTTGTCTAACCTCACATCAAGTTCAATTGACACTTTTATAAGGTCATACTTAATAATACATGTTTTATTGTGCATGGAATGGGAAGAAAGATTGCCTTTAGATTGCTATCTTTGGATAATTAACTGCTTCTAATGATTTAAGGATTATATCTGTTTGACTTTTTGAATGCATTTAGTACTTCCTTGATTAACCTTTTCAGATTGTAAAATTACTGTCGAACATTGGGTGTTTGCCAACTATTGAGCATAATTGAACAAAATGTGTGTGTACACGAGCGGGATTTTTCACGTATACGAGAGCACAAGATTTATTGTACTGGTCATGAGTTGTTTGTCGACCCTGGGAATTTTTTTTTACATAATTGAAAAGAGCTCAATCTCAGCATTACTTCTGTGAGAACTGCATGCTGGTGCGATCTTAAGCTTAAAAATTATGAAGTATGAACACCTTGAGATGTGATGAAGTGATGTGATGAAGTGGTCATATTCTGGCCTGAATCTCCAAATGAAAGTTCCCGGAGAACGACTCAGTTAGCTGGATTGCATCACATTTTTTTTTGCGTCTTATTTTAACTCTCAGACGTTTCGTATTATTCTTCTAATGTAGTTTGAAGTCTCTCAATGTGGAAATAAACAGTTGTCACTTGGTGATGGTAAAATAGAAGGGCGTTGTATTCTAATGACTGTGGCGGCACTTGTATGATTCAAATAAATTGATTTGCCCTTGTTTTTTTATCAGCCACCTACTTTGGCAATGGAACCTATTTTGCCGTGGAAGCCGATTACTCTGCACAGCAAAAGTACGCACAGCCTGACGCACACGGTGTACAGTACATGTACCTAGCAAAGGTTCTGGTCGGAGATTACACTAAAGGCTCTCAGGGAATGAAAACTCCTCCTAACAAACCAAATTCCAACCAGCAGTATGACAGTGCGGTGAACGATGAAAGCAAGCCAGGCATCTATGTTATTTTTCACGATACAAAATCCTATCCAGAATACCTCATCAAATTCCAGTAAGCCAGTCATAAATGTTTCAGACGGTAGATGTTTTCATTCTATTGTATGATGAAAAACCTTCAGTCCATTTGAAGATAAAAAATAAAAGGCACGTAAGGGCAGTCTGAAATGAGTGATATTATGAAGATGATAATGATCAGTACAAATAGTGGTTCTATGATATCCATTTCTTTAATGTATGTTATTGTTTACACACATGAAGGCCAAAGCCATGAATTGATTTATGTCTATATATCAAATACCTCAATTCAATTCAATAATAGTTTATTATAATATGGTGACCGTTAGCGACGCAAGGCCGAATTGTTTTTGGATTTACATTAAAAGACAATATAAGACGTCATAAGACAAACTATTATAACTAAAATGGTTTTTAAACATCATGCATAAAAAACAGTTTAAAAAGTATATGTATATATGCATTTAAATATATAAAATGAAAAAAGAAAAACCTTTTAAAAGAGTAGTGAGATGAGCAATAATGGAGCTAAGATGAAAATGAAAAGGAACGAACATAACACAATGTGGTTAAAAAAATAAGCCATCTAACTTTTGAAGGGAAAGACTTCGAATAATAAAGAGAGAATTTCGAATTGGAAAAAAAAGGTTATTACCAAAAATAAGTGACATACAAGATAACTATGGACAGGATATGATAAGGAAAAACAAATATATATGTATAAATAGACTGGAAAATAGACTTTCAAAAGTGTGAAAATAATGAAATTTAGAGTAAAATGGAATGAAAAGAACCAAAAAACAATGTGGAAGAAAAATGTATATATATATAAAAAATATAAATTTAAAAAGAGTGGGTAAGCAAAGCTGGACACAAAATGTGCACAAAGTGTCCACATTTGAAATAGTAAGAACACGTGAAACTTGTATAGGTGTTTGCTTTATGCTAGTGCTCAAAAATCTGATTGAATTGTAAATCAATTATGGCTGAACAATAGTGTATGATAAAGAACTAAAATTGGTCCTTCTGTTGTTCTTGTATTCATATCTGAAGCAATACACTAGGTGAAGTTTCACCAAGGAGTTATTCATAAATAAAGTGTAATCAGTGCTGTGCAAAACGCCAAAAAATGAAAACATTTACTGAGATGTTTTGCAGCCTGTTTAGGGTGAAAAAAAAACGTGAAGGGCAAACCTGATATAAAAATAGTACCCCTTTGGTGAAACCGCTTCGGCAGTACAGTTTAAGGGATATTATGAAGATGATACGCTTACTAAATTGAAATAGTGCTTAATTATAATAACCATTTCTGTAAGTAAGTATATTATTGTACTACATGCAAATGACAAATCTTTGAAATTGATTGTCTGTAGATCAAAGGCATGTGAAGTAGAAAAGACTTTAAGTTTGTGTTGTTGTTTTCTTTCGAAATTACGCTTCAGCTTTCGAAGTAACAGCTTTACTATAGTTTACTTTTTCAATACACACAGATTAATCCTAACCACCTAGGGTGTGTGAAACATCATATTTAAATTTAATAATTCAGGACTGTTAGGGTTTATGTAACGTTTAAAATCATTAGATTAACGAATGTTGTCACAAGATGTCCGAACATCTTTTCACGTGCTATAATAATTACACTTGTAAACATAATACATGACGTGCCTTTTTGACTGATGCTGGTGCTCATAAATCTAATGGAATTGTCAATCACAAAGATACAGTTGACAAACCGAACAATAATGAATAAGGATTAAAAATAATCCTCCTTATGTTCTTGCATGCAAACTTTAAAAAGATACATTATATTAGGTTTATAAAAATGTAATAAGTGCTGTCGAAAGCGCTGAAATATAAAACCTTTTACAGACATGTTTTGCTGCATTTTGGAAAGGGGAAAAATGAAGAGCACATCTAAAATAGGAAGAAAACCTATTTTGTGAAACCACATTACCAGCACAATTTAAGTGATATTATAAACAAGATGATATGCATAGCGAATTGAATTATGTTTTCATAATAATTTCCTTCGAGTATATTATAGTATTACACGCCTATTGACCGAATTTATAAAATTGATTGATGTCTACTTCAAAGACACATGCAGTAGTTCAAAACACTTGTGTGTGTTTTTTTTTTAAATAAGTTCCAGTATTTACTTTCCAATACACATGGATTAATGTAGCTTTAAAAGTCGTCTGGTTAAAAAAGATTGGCACAAATGTGTAAAACGTTTCCACGTGTGCCATGGGTATGAGAACACGTCAACTTAGCAGTGCCCTTTTGACTGATGCTGTTATGTTACTTACAAACATCTGATCAAATTGTCAGCAATCATGAAGATACTGACAATTGAGAAACTGATAAAGATGGTCCTTGTATTGTTCTTGCATTCAGGTTTGAAGAAAAAGAAGTACTTTTAACTATAAAGCTTGTGAATAAAAAGCACCTCGGCTATTCCATCGTGACGTGCGTGACAATTCTAAAAAATAAAAAAATAAAAATTAACAAATTAAATAAGCACTTTGACTTGATATCACTTGCTTTCAATAACTGATTCAGCAAATGCCTGCAGTTAGATATATGATATAACTGATATTTTCTGAGATATCACGATTGATTCCATTTGTCTTGCGTGACGGGCTACTTACAGAGGATATTTACAACACCTCATATACTTGTTCTATTTTGTAGAATATTATATGTTAAACCTTGGTTTTTCCTGATTAAGATTAGTTTTACGTGATTAAACAGCCTCATTCTTATTTGGCACGTAGCGACATAGTAGCTTATAACTTTAACAAACGTAAGTATCATCTAAATTAATTTAAATACAATACAATTAAATACAATATTAACCTTTCTCTCTGCTATAAAAATATATGATTGGCCACAATCCATAATGTTAGCAAATAAAAACGTTTCTTGGACATCAAGATACGGCTTAACATTCGATGTTACTAACACATAACTCAAGTAAAGGATTTGTCGTCCCCTTCAATTTGATACCACACTTGAGGTGGTTATGTAGTTTTAAGATTCCATATTTTTTGGGGGGACATCCATTCATACTTTTTTCATGGAATTGCTCACCTGTGAGTGTTTTGAATCACAGAATATGCTAAAAGCAGTACATAAGCCATTACAGTTTTCTTTGCAAGCATAAGTAGAACGTTTGTATTTTATCTTATCTCTCTTTGATTTCAGTTCAATCATGATAATAATGATGTACAATAGTGTAATGGTAAAAGTGTAATACAGGGTGACCCCCCCCCCCCCCAAATGAAAACAGCACGTTGGGCCGCTGAGAAAATACCAATTATGTAACACAACTCCTTTTTGGTCCATTCCAATGGCATTACCACAGTTAAGGGATCCACATGCGTTTGTGTCGTAATCCTTACAAACCACACGGCACATAATATGACAAGAGTGAAATGAATTTGATGGAAATACCTTTTATTTTCCACCTAAACAGGTATCTTATCCGTGTTTAGTCCTATTTTAGACCTTTTCAGCATCATGAATAATGTAAAAATAAAGAACTTGCACAAACAAAAGCTGTTTGAACCACTATTGGAAAGGATGAAAATCACTTTTTTTCACATAAATGGCATTTTCTCAGCAAGCCAATGTGCAGTTTCCATGATTTTTGTAAAGTATAAGAATGAAAAACCTCCAAGCTTTAATCCTACTTCCAAAAAATAAACATTCATGGATCACATTTTTGGAGAAAAAAAAATGTTGCGGCGTTGCATTTTGTGGGTCACCCTGTACATGTAGGCCTATTCATAGTTTTTTAAAGGATTTAGAGCCGTATCCGTCGAACCCTAAAATTCGGAGATTTCAAACAATAATTTGATGATTGTCTAACGTTTCCAAGCAATTTATATATAACGAAATATTACTCTCTGAACAATATCGTATATTATTATTTATATCAGGCGTCCGTCCAGTGGTAACAATGAATCAGCGGATTGTTCGTTTTCGTAAAAAGTACCTGGATGACTACAATATTATGTCTGAAAAGTACTCGGATGAGGAGGAAATTATTCTTGATATTTGTCCTCATCCTGGCATTTTCACAAATGTCGCTGGTTCCAGCACAATCAACCAGTCAACGGAGCGTTGCGCGCGGCATCGTCACAAGCGGAAAACGGGCAGTAGGATTTACGGCTATACGCGCTCTGTTTTCAACAGCCACAATGCAGTCTAGACTAGTCCACGCCAACGACAAAATATGGGGACCAGTAGCTTCCATTAAACAGTTTTTGATTGGATCACCTCTGTCTACGCGTGCGCAGCATGATTTGTTTATACTTTCAAACGATGTGCACAGCTTTGTGCATGGGTGACACTTGAACGCATGGCTATAAACAAAAATACTTTTTATACCGAACCCTGTAGGCAAAATCGCCATGCTGAAAAGTAGTGCGCCTCTCTTTATTGAGAGTTGCCAGAGACAGTTTCAAATTCAGTGAAAACCGAAGCTTATCACCACAAAACGTGTTCAGGTAAACCTTGTTGCCATTTTGCAATAGGCTGGTTCCGCGCTAATATTATGGTTGTGCTTTTGTGTTCATGGGCAGGAATCAGACCTAAGCTAGTCCTGCATAGAATTTGAATACATTAGAAGAAAACCTCCCATTGAATTCAAGGGTCATTACCCTCTACCTGTCCCTACATTAGAAGTCCGAAGGACGACGGAGAGACCGGGAACCAGTCTAAATGCATTTTTCGAGTTTCACGATTTTTTTCTCTGTAAGCTAAGAATATTCTACAAAATTGGAGAAATAAAGACAATGTCCTAAAATCTATTTCTTGTGGATCAAGTCAGCCTGATATAAATAATAATCCAAATAATAACGGGTGGCTTTCGGTGGGGGGTACAAAAGTATATTGCACTCTAGAGTCGAAGTCAAGTGTAATATTGCTATAGCTCGTGCAATATTTCATAATTGTTGACTGCTGTGGTGTGGGATAAGCCGTGTTAAAAACCCGAGGGGCGCTTAACGTTAGCACACGATATAACAACTTGTTCCCCTCAAAGCCATCCAATATTATGTAAATCTGTGATGATAACCGCCTGAAAAGTACATTTTTTATATGTTACTCAGAGATATTACACCCATTAATGTACGGAATTTCAAGATAACCCATTTTCTTTTTTAAACGTTCATGTGTTTAAAACAAAAGGTGCGTTAGGACGAAATAACTTTCGAGATGTTTAAAGCATATTTTGTGGATGCTGCCTTTTTCGCCTTATTAGTTTCAATTTGTTGATTATTGATTTCGCTGTAATATGTTTTTCTCCGGTTATTGGATGAAGACGTATAAGCCTCAGGGCCATTAATTTTCCCCATCATTTTCACGGGCGTACAAGAGTACTCTTTTTCCTGGAACTCCCCCGAGTCTGATATCACCTGTTGTCCAACAAAGCCCTCTCTGTCTCCGGTCCAACGTCTGCCATAGCCATAAGTCTGCCATAAGTCTGCAAATTTATGCGACTCGTGCAACAGCCAATTAACGTCGCCTTTACAAAATTGTGACGTCATTTCGAT